TTCGTCACGCTCTGAAATCGGTTTTCTGTCCGATCGGCGGATAACTCGCGAATTGATTTATTAATTATCCGAATTAATTTCGCAGAAATTCGGATAAATCCGATCCTTCCGGATTTATCAGATTCCGATGATCCGGCTGTTTTGGGGAGGAGGGGAAGGAGAATACAAAGGGGGAGGGGGAATTTGTACGAGTGATCGGATAATAATTATTTTCGACAATTCGGATATCGAATTATCCGGATATTTAGGGCTTTTACGCGACGATACGCGGGATGGATTTTTGTGGAAAGGGATAAATTTTCGTGGTGGATACGAATCGATTTTGGAATTATATTGCGCTTCGCAATTACATACCTCGTTCAATCTCCCGTAATTCGGGCGCGAATTAAGAATCTCGCGGATTCGGATCGAGTTTGATTCTCCAGATGTCAGATCCAGTTAATCCGGATGTTTGGACTTGAATAATAATAAATTAGTTTTTGCAGTAATTATATATGTATATTTTAATAGTTATCTTTTAATTTATATTAAATTATTCAGATATTTGCAGTCTTAATGACGATATCGGGATGTAAAATTCGGAGATATTGTCATGAAGACCGAGATGGAATCGATTTCGAAATTTTTTGTCTTTTTTTCTATGTGTGTGACAATTATATTATTTTCTTCGATTATATACACTTTAAAATATAAAAAATAAAATAAAATATATAATTTATGTGTTGTTTTATTTTCTGCACGCAGAAATTTTTTCTGATATCGAGAATTTGGCCGTTTAAATTCGTCACTTGCTTCTTCTATTTGCAATAATTTATTTTCTAATCTTCTGGAGTGCACAAAATCTGAATTTAACACATTTCTTGTTGAAATGTATTCTCCTGATACTGAACTTTTGCGATTTTTTTCGGAAATTGATATTTCAACTCGTTTAACTTTTTCATCTAATTGGAAAAAAAAATAAATGCAGTTTTAAAGTGCAATTTAAGATAAAATAATATAATTGTAATATAATTGTAATATATATATATATATATGTATATATATATATATATCTTGTTTTTTTCTTTAAAATTTCGAAATCTCTTTTTTGATTTACTCGTAATTCTTGTTATTATTCCTAGTATCATTATCGCGCGCTACTATTTATTCATTAACGTTATTATTATTTCTCATTATTTTTACATCTATTATATTATTATTATCGTTATCACCGCGTCTCATTATCATTTTTTTAATCCACTTGTCGATACCAACTCGTTTTGTTTAACTGTCGCTGCGTCTTTATTCTTAATGTATAATACTTATTTTCTACAATTAACATGATATCATCATTTTTTCCCACGTTTTAACGACGCGCGTGCTTTTTCCTTTTGCAGTACGAAAAAAAAAACGGAGTAAAAACGTCGTCTAATGAATTAATGAGTTATTTCGCAGAGAAATCTCTCCTCCCTTCCTCCCTCTCATCATTTTTTTATTCGTTTTACATCATACAGAGGCGCAATCGAGGCAATCTCTCTTTCTACTTCATTTTATTATTTTTCATTTCTCTCTCCCTCTTTTTCTCTCTCTTTACCTAGCTAATTTTCGATCGATTCCCGGGTCCGAAGCTCGAGTTTGTCGTGGACGACGCACGTCGCTGGTGCTCATCGTCGCGCGTGGGATTATAATCGTTTAGAGTCCTTTGTACAGACTTCTGATAAATCGTTCTATAACTTTTTTTTCTTTTTTTTTTTTCCTCTTTTTGCCATTTGCCTTATGTGATAACGCTTTTTTTTTTCTTATCTCTTACTGACGAACTAGCGAGTAACTCTCCTCTCTCCCGCTCAATCTCTCTCTCTCTCTCCCACTCTTTCGCTCCCTCTCTTTCTCTCTCTCTCTCTCTTTTTACATATCTACTTACGTTGTAACGGTGCTTGTGTGTTGTACAGCTAAAAGTTAGCTAGACGTGGGCCCAAGGGGCCCCGGGGGTTGTGACCCTCGGGGAGGGGTGGAATCTTCGACCTCCCTCGGATTCCTTCCCGCGCGTTCCCTTCGTCAGGACGCACGTGGGAGGATGTCGGACCGACGCGACGGACACCTTCGAGGTCCCGCCGGCGAGCGACCGCCGACGATCCAAGGACGATATTCCCTGGAACTCGAACCGCGATGCGGCGCGCACAGAACGCGAGAAATAATTCATACAAAACCTCGGCGTGTCCCCCATGACCCTCTAAAACCCCGACACATTCGGGTCACTCTCGCGCGTTCGGTGAAACCTTTTACTCGCCAAAGGTTTTCGCGTGTAAAAGGATTGAATCGTGAATTATTTCGCGTCTTTCGAAATTAATCGCGAGCTTTTAGAGCTCCTCCACGTTTTATGTCAGTGATCTTTTTCGCTTTTTTTCTCTTTTTCGGGCACGACTGTGCGCCAAAAGGCGGAAGGAATTGATCGAATCGATCACGAGAGTATTCGAGGATACTGTGGATCTTCTAGAGACCTTCTAAAACCTCCCAATAAGCACACAAGATTTAAAAAACATTTTTTAAACATTTATTTAATATTTTTACATTAAATAAGTATTTAAAAAATATTTTTTTAAATATTTTTTTAATGTTTTGTGCTGGTTAGGCTGTGTTGTGGGGATTACGCATTGAGGACTGATAATCGCAAATTGAGATTAAAATTCTATCAGTCAAATAATTTTAATTTCAATCCGTTTCGTTCTGATTGGCTGAATTCTAATCTTTAATTCGCGCAATCCACAATCTCCAATGCGTAGTGTGATGCTTAATCAGTCTGGATAGCAACAACATGGCGGCAACAATTAGAATTATAAAGATTAGGAATCAAATTCAAATAAGAGAGGTATAATAACTAGCGAAAGAATTTTAAATGTAGGTTATTACATGATAATTATATATGATTCTAAATGAAACAATGCAGATTATTATGTAGATTTAAATTTCGTATTACTTTTTATATTCAATTTCTACAACAATTATTATGTAAATTATTTTAAATGTCGATTTAAATTTCGTATTATTTTTTGTATTCAATTTCTACAACAAACACATATAAAGTAACCTAAAAAGTAATTTAAAAAGTAATTTTGCTAATCCTGATTATTGCCAATTATCTAAGATGAGGCACAATAGTTGTACAAATTTACCACAAGAATGTATTGTATTTTTTTTTTCAGTAAACTATAAAATGAAATGATGATATTAAAACGACGATGTTTCATAACGCGACAGACGCCATTTTATTACAAAACAGCTTTAATGACTAGACTCTTAGTATAGGAACATCTCAGTCGCACGATTTTGTTGACGAAAAATGTTGGACTGCTTGTTATAATCAGACTTTGATTAGATCTCTAGTGTCCACGGCACGGGGAGACGTTGTATTCCAGCACATCGGTCTCCGGCGAAAGCGGAAATAAAAATCAATAGAGCGGAGGCAGCCCTCCTGGAAATATTCCAGCTGACGCGCGTTATTCGGCCACGAGGCCGATTCTCTCCTCGGGCGAGCGAAGACCGAACGAGAAGGAGATCGCAAGTTCGACGAAGGAAAGTCGCGCGTAAAGGGATTGCGCACAATCAAAGGAAAAGAGAACAGGAAATCAGAATTTCAAGCTATCAGAAACCATGTACTGTGGAATACATAGTTCTGATATAGGTCGAAGTTCTTATTTTCTTCTCCCTATTTCTTTAATTGTGCAGTCAAAGCCTGATTTACGTAAAACCATGATGCAAGAAGATAAGAATGCAAGGTATTTCGTTCCCAAGGTACGCAGTTGATAACAAACTAGGTAATTAGTTCAAAAATGTTATAAGCCAATATAAAGCCACTATTAGAAATTTATCAGCAATAAGAAATTTGCCTCAAAATTGTATTTAACTATTATTATGCGCAATGAAATACTTCATTATTTTTACATTATGCGTAGGACGCGGGTCGCAAATCATGGAATAAGTTGGAATGGATTTCGATTGGAATTATTCTCTTTTCCCTAGAAAACATAATAGCTATTTAATTAGAGACTAATTGAATAATTCCGATTGGAATCCATTCCTTGTTCCATAATAGAATCGTAAAGACTGTAGGACGCATAGAATATAGGATGCATAAAGTTGGGTAAACTTTAACTTTCGCGTTTTGTCACGACCGGAAATACGTCATGATCGATCGATTCCGCCGATTTTTTTTGTGACGCAGAATGCACTCTTTTTTAGAAATTTAATATTGGATGATGTAGTGATTAATTATTCATTTTAAGTATTATTACCTGATCGGTATTCCAATGTAGCCGGACATTTTCTTCAATTATTTTGTGTTTACAACAAATGTTTTTCACGCTTTTCATAATATTAAGTTACATAACCTTATTTAAAAAACTAAGTATATAGAATTAACTCGAATTATTTATCATGCTTGAGATCAATTATTTTGATGGTCTAACAAAATGATTTTCAGATCTATGTTTAGCTAATTTTTAGAAATTTCAACAAAATCGTTCTCTACGTGTCTCTCCGTTCAGCCAAAGTTTCTTTTTTATTATTCTACTTCCCTACAGATCTACTTCCCAAAATATCTGGTAAAATTCAAGGTTATATCTTTGTCACATTTCCGAATAGCTTTTTTAACAAGATATTTTAAGGGAGATTTGACTCTACCCTCTTTTATATTTCGGAGAAGTTCGAGGGTGAGATTTTATTCCTTGTATACACCAAAAAGACCCAGATTGCAGACGGAGAGTTAAATTGGATTTCCGTATAAGGGAAGAGATAGCGCGTCGTCCTTCTTTTCTCTCCTCTCGCGCGCGAGGGAAGAGACCGACGTAAAAGCTGACGTAAAAGCGAACATCGTTCGGTCCTCTCGAGCGGGATTTTACTCGCGCGCGACTTTACGCGACGCGGAATAGCTCGAGCGAGCGAGATATCGAACGAGACGCGCGCGCGGATAGGCAAAGGGAAGACATAATGCAAGAGATGGGCGAATTCTTTTTTTTTTATCGTTACTCTCTCTCTCTCTCTCTCTCTCTCTCTCCCTCTTTCTTCTCTTTTTATCTCTCCTGCCTTTTACGAGCGCGATCGACTGCTGCGACGCGGAGTCGCGAGTCGTGCGCGCGTATCGGACCGTATAGATCGAATTGCGGACCCCATTTCACTACTCTACCACGTAGGTAGATACGTATGGCGCACACACAGCAGTGGCTGGAAACGGCGGATGCGGAGGTAGACGAATGCGAATTGCAGAGTCGTCGTAATCGGCCTCGTCGCTCGGGGGGGGCCAGAGGCAATTTTACGCGGCACTGCGCTCATCTTCGTCGGCTGTTAGACACGAATGCGATACGCGACGCGTCATCGCGACGAGCGAGGGGGGGAAGGGGGAGGAAATAATATCTATTTTTCATCAGATGAACTTTTATAGACTTTCTACAATGAGTCGTTAGTCATCACTCATATCATATATTAGTGGTAAGTCAGAATAAGCCACAAAGTCACGGAATCAGACTAAGCGGTTGAAATTTGACCAATGGAGGACAAAGGAATTTTAGATCCTATCGTTTTGATTGGTCAAATTTCAATCTTTCAATCTTCGATCTTAATCTTCGATGAGTAGTTTGATTCCGGCCTAAATTTGCGTCGTCTAAGAAGTAAGAGTAAGAAATTGATCAATTACAATCGAATGTGAGAAGAATAATCGACTGTGATTGGTCAATTTCTTGCTCTTGCTTCTTATTCCGTGTATTGTAGACGACGCTTTAGAGGTTTTCTACAATAAGCTATTATCTAAGTTTTAAGTCACAAGCCATAAAAAATCGATCACAGTCGAATGTGAAAAGAATAATCTATTATGATTGGTTAATTTTTTATGGCTTAAGACTTAAAGCTGAGGTAATGGCTTATTATAGAAAATCTGTATTAGAAAACTTACATCCAGAATAAGTTACGTTACCATATTTCAGCCAATTAGAAGACAGTTCTCAGGATAAATAACAATACAATATGGATGCGATCCACTTCACGCTGCAAATGCTTTGATTGATCAATTTGTAATATAATTTCTTGCGATTGGTCAACGAAATATTTGCAGCGTTAATTGGATCACATCTCATATGATTGTTCAGTGTCATAACATAATTTAAGATAATTTAAGATTTTAGATTTTTCTTCTTTTTTTTTACGTTTCCATTCTTTTTCTGCAAGCAACTAAAAAATGACAACTTTTCTAGGTCAGTTATTGTTATAGCAAATTAACGAAAAGATTTTTGCAAAACAGGATAGACATCTTTAGAACTTGTTTCATTAAATTTAGAGAAGGACGCGAATCATTCTATACGAGTGTATGAAATCTCTACAGTATAGAATTATATATGTATAGAATTTCTTTACGATGATCTAAATCTGGCGTGATAAAAAGGTCCTCGTTTCCCGCGAGATATATCTCGAGTCAATAATAAAAAAAAATATACACGTCGAGAGTATCTTGATACGAAATTGACGATACGAACAATAACAACGTATGTCAGATATCTGATATTCACGGAACACGATTCGATCGTATCGATTCCGCGTTATCTGGCTGTATCAGATTTCTTTTAACGGAGACAGGTGCAGGGTGTAGATATGTGCCTCTTGAGGATTTTCGAAGCTCTTTTTTTTTTAACGTAGACTCCCGATATTGCAATGGAAGCTGCACGGATCCGGTAAAGCTCGGGAGAAATTACGTTCTCACCCCCGGATACTTCGATCACCCGTCCGGTATATCTAACATCGGATATATACACGTGACCGCCTTGTCCCGTGGGATAACGTCACGATAAACGCGACGCGACACGGTGATTCGTGCTCATAAAACCCCCCGCAACGGTGACCCACATAGCAGATATACAGGGTGTTCCAAAGATCCTCAAGTAAGTGACTACACACCATACGTCTGATCCGCCATATTTTTCAGAACAGATAGAATTAAATAGATGCATAAGATGGAAGAAGATGTGTATCTCATTCTATCTTATGTATTATCTATCTTGTTCTATCTTTCTGAAAAATATAGCGGCCCAATCAGAAATTGTCTAAACGGTGTTCAGTCTCCTATATTTGAGGATTTCTAGGGTGATTTTGCATGACACCTGTTAATAGCAAAGAAAAAATAGTGAAGATGTTTTCAAGCATCAATTCTATTCTCTTCTATTCTTCTAAACTCTTTCATTATTGTTAATGTGCATGCTTGATCGCGCGAATTTCGAATGATTTATTTGACTAACTTTAAAAACTCTTCTCATTTAAAAACTATTGTAGTGTCGGCACTTTGGTATTAGGATTTTTGTCTTGAAATAATCTCAGGAGTCTGCTATTGACGGCTGTAATGGGAAGTCTGGGACACCCTGTATAGCGGGGTGGTATAACACGCTGTTCGTGTTCTGGATGGAGTACCGGATTCGACGAGAGACCGATGTAACGATAATTTTACGACGAATCCGCGCGTGTCGTGTACAGCTTCTGGTACCTCGAATCCTCCAGCATCCCCGAGATTCTCTCTTCTAATTTCCTCATACCTGTCCTCTACTTTTCCCGAATCTCCATGTTTGCGATTTCTCGTTTTGCGCGGTTTTTTAAATTCTCGGACTGTTAAATTTTAGCATTTTTCGAATTTTTTGAATTTTCAGACTCTTGTATCTCTTCACACAGATAAAAAACATTTTGTAATTGTGTCAGGCTTTATTAAAATTTTTGTGTTGAACTTTTAACATATCCGAATGTTAATTTAACATAATATAATATGATTTACGAATTTTTCGAATCCACGTGTTCACGATTTTTCAAATTTTCGCGGTTTTTTAAATTTTCGGACTGTTAAAATTTAGCGTTTTCGAATTTTTTGAATTTTCAAACTCCCGTTTGAAATTTTGTTTCGAATCCTCGCGTTTTCATTACGTTTTTCGGATACCTATATGAACCTTCCAAAAGTTTCAAACGGACTTTCTCGTCGTTCTGTCGCGCTAGCATTAAGGCGAGGGAAGAGCCTCAGACTTCGGAGTGACTCGTAGGAACTATAATTAGCGCAATTAGAACCGTCGGCGTAGTTCGCCGATAGTTTCGAGCCATCGTCTCGTCCCCCGTTCGATCGTCCGTGCATCGCTACATCGAATATCTCATTTATTCTTCTCTTCTTACCTCTCGTCGTCCTCCGTCATCGTCGTCGGATCGTCGTTCGTCACCCCTCTCGGATCTCTCCTTTCTCTATTTACGCGCTACTCGAACTCGATTCCACCCCGGGCCTCTGGGGCCCCCCCTCGTCCCCCATAATTTCCGACCGAGATCTCTCTCATAGGCGGACGTGTATTTTTTTTTTCTTTTATTCATCGTCGATCCCCCGGCGATCGAGCACTCTTCTACTATTGATATGTCTGTTTCTCGCACGGTACCGTCATCTTCCCGATCGTCCGTTCGTTCGTTCGTTTCGTCCGTCCGTTTGTTCATTCGCGTTCGTTCGTCCTCTTCTTTAGGGAAGAAACGGACCGCCGCTGCTGATGCCGATGCCGCTGCTGCTGCTGCCGCGTTGCTGATGCCGATGCTGATGCTGATGCTGATGCTTCTGCTGCTCGACGGGGCTAGGACGGCGGCTCGACGGCCGACCACCGATCCAGCGGCGGCGGCAGCCGGGAGCTAAACGATACCTCTGACGTCGTGCTGGATGTGAGGCAGAGTAGTGAGGCCGGTCAATAACAGGCTCAAGATCAGGAGTATCCGGGTCGCGCCAGAGTCGGCGAGGCTCGTGCTGCCGCACGTCTCCTTGGACCCGACCTCCAGTTTCGCTGTAACAGAGTCGCGGGGCGACCGCAATCCCGATCTTAATAATTAGCGCTGGGAACTTCCCCGAATGGGGCAAATGGATTCGCGAGAAGTAACAGAAAACACCTGTTCTTTTCAGCCCAACTTCTTACACCGCTCGACGTTGAGAGAAAAAGAGGAAGAATTAAGAAGGTGGTGCAAGAAGTTCTGAAAAGAATCTATACAAGTAAGTGTTCCGGTATAGTTTACTAGCACATTTGTCGGTATCCCAATCACTGAGGGATATCGTAGTTTCATATTGTTTTTGTCGCTTATCTCTCATATAAGATCCCTTATGTACAGTAGAAGTAATATCTAAATCCTTTGGAGTGAAAATTGAGTCAGTCTTGAAAAAAAAAGAGCGACAATTTTTAAAGAAGAATGACAGATTTTCATTCTTTTTCGGAGTAAGATTTCACTTTTTTAAAGTGAGATTCCAAAGGTATGAAATCTCACTCCTTTTTTTGAAGTGAGACTTCATTTTTTGGAGTGATTTTTCACTTCAAAAGAGTGAAATCTTACTCCAAAGGAATGAAATCTCATTCTCAAAGTGTGAAAATCTGCTACTCTTGTTCAAAAGTGAAAATATTTTTACTCTTTTTTCAAGGTTCAATTTGCAGTCTTTTGAAGAGAGATTTCACTCCAAAAGATTTAGAGAATAATAAAATCAGACATGCACATATACAATATAAAACTATATTTTTACGATTTATGAAACAATAGATCTTTTGTTTTCGAAGTCTTTTGTGTAATAATGTATATGTGTAATAATGTGCTCTGCCGAAACAAAGAGAGAGAACTCTGCCCTTCCTTGCTACTATAATTATAACATAATTATAACAGCAAACTATGAATACTTCGAATAATGAAACATTGATTTTTCTGCTACTTTGCTGCACTTTTTCATAAATAGGAAAGCAACAAATATCGTGAATGTAACGTGAGATATTCCTATTGAACGATTTCTGTTCGAACTTTAATTGTCCAGGTACAATTAATCCTTAATTGGTCGCGTGGGATCAATATGAAAGCCGGTCGTAATTCTTTTGTCATCTTTAGACTTGTTCGTTTACTTTTATTATATTTCCCTAAAAGCACTTTTTGCATTTGAAATGTATAGTCAAAGAGAGATTAAAAAAAGAAAAAAAAACAAAGAATCTGATGCATACAATGTGAGTAAAATGAAGAAATGAATGGGTTTATGTTACATTACGTGATTAATTAAAAGTTAATAATCGCAAATAGTCGAAATAATTTTGATACATTTGATGATAGAAATAGATTTTTTGCATATATAATATATTATATATATATATATATATATATACATAGAATAATTTAAAAAAATGTATAAGTATATATACACAGGGGAATCCCATTTTAATTTAAGATGCAGAATAACGAGATAACTCAAGTGATATAAAAAAAGTCTCGACTGTTTTTAAAAAATAAAATAATTGCATATTGCAAATTGCATAATTTGTTTATTCTCTGTTCAAGCTGTCTCAACAGGATAATTTTAAATGAAAATTTCGAAGCACTTGCGTATTCGACAAAGGAAACTCTGCGTGCCTTTCGAAATAATCTTTGTCCTTCCGTCGCCAATATCGGCAAGATAGGCAAATTTCGCAGCGTGCGTCGTAAGATCGACGTGTCGGGAGACGCGGGGGTGGTGACGTGACGGGAGTGAGACATGACAACGGTGTTACCGAGAGGGGGTGGAAGGGGTGGCTTCTCGATTGCGCGCACGTTCGCCTTGGCGCGGCGAAACAAAACGAACAAGCGGAGCCGAGTAAACGGGGATAGTATACCGGACCAGCAGCACATGCTGAGGGGGTGATTGTGGTGGTGCTGGCGATGGTGATGGTGGTGGTAGCGACCGCCAGGCAGGCAGGCAGGGCGCGGATCGATGCCACGGGTAAGTAACTCGCTCGCGTTGAAACCGCGTCCTCAAGTCCGCGCGAGCTTGCATTGCACGTGCGAGCTTGCACACGTTGTCGCCGAAGAAATATCTCAATACGTCGGAGAGACGCCGGTCGTTTAACCCCCCCTTTACCCAAGAGACACCCCATCCTCTCCCGCGACCCGCCGCGTCCGTAACGTTACCGCGAAAACCACTAAACGATTAACGCTCGAGGATATGAGTCTTGTACGCCGAGAATACTTTGGTAAATCGTATACAGGGTTATCAACCAGTACTCTTTTAACCCCTTCAGACTCTGCGTACATTGTAATGTACGTCAAATTTGAAGATATCCATTGAAATTATTTAGTTCTATTGATTATCATTTGAGATTTGATGTATATAATAAGTATATATTCTAAAAATAGTTGAAATTTTTAGAAAAATTAATTGTTTAGTATGAATTATTTATTAAAGTGCGCATGAATTGAATTTTAAAAATTGATTAACATGGATCCAGTAAAATCAGTTCGAAGGAGTTAAGTAAATCCAAAGAACGTGTAAAAGTCAACAAGAAATCAAATGATTTCACTTTGATTCTTAACGTCAATAAACAGTCAAATTTTGTAACAAAAATCATCATTTTAATGTCAAGATAAAGTCATTTTGATTTTCTCTTAATTTATTTTTCTGCGAATGTATTATTTTTGATGTTGCAAAACTCTAATTATTAATTAAAATTTCATGCACAACAAGAATCTTTTATTCATGTGAGATTTTATATTTATAAAATTGTGTTAATAAGAATTGTAAGTAAAAATTATGTTTAGAAATTTTATTAAATATCACGTTTAGTGTATAACAAATTATACTCGCTCTTTCTGCTCTCGAATCATTTTTTTTTAATTAGTATTTATATGTATGCTTTTCTTGTGATTTACAGTAACCCTACACGCGTAGAATGTGTTCCCGATCGATCTCTCGTTTCGCACATACATCGACATCGAGGGATGAAACGACGCGATACGCTTTATAAATAAATTTATGATTTCATATTTTTGTGTTTCATTAGCGCCCGATGATAATAAGTACTCCGGCATTTGTGGCAAAAGTCTGTTGTTTTTATTTCCACATTCCGAGATCGGAAAACTGCTTGCTTACGACTTCCCTTCTTCTCTTTTTTATTTTTTTAAAACGCTCGTCCATATATTGTTCTTATAATTACACGCAACGTACACAATAGTGTTTTATAATCAATTCGGGTGGAGAGAATGGTGCATAGGAGATGTTTATATTTTACTTTTGTATCTTGGATTTATATTTTCGCTTTTCTTTTCTTTTTCTTTCTCTTTTTGTAATTATCGGTAATCGGCGCGATGAGTCTATATGTCGCCAAATAAAGTTAACGTTGAAAAAATATTTACTTTACAAATACATAGAGCAAGCATTTATTTATTTATTAATAACAAGGAGTTAACGCGAGAGGTATCCTTCAAAGGTTTAGGCTTCATTAGCTTTTATTGTCCAGAGAATTTTTTTCCAGAAACTGTCGCTCGTACCTTTAAAATATCATGGGAAAGTGAAATTTTTCGATCGTCTCCTCGTTGCAAATTTTATCAAGCGCCAAAATTCCAATAATGCTAAGTAAATATTTAATTAAATTTTACAGTCGGAACTAATATAGATGTTTTATATCAATGTAATAAAAAAAATGTACATATATATTGTATTTTGAACTTTTATTTCTATATATACGAAAAATTGAAAACAATAATAATCACTTCAGTATAAACACATATTATACAATAAAAATATATAAAAAATATTTTTTTAATAATATATTTTTTATATGATTTATGATATAATTGATTTTTAGTATAGAATTTAGTATAATATATATATATATATATATATTTTGTACAGTTAATATAAACAGTATTTGTACAGACGAAATTTTTAGAAGAAAAATCTTATTTGTAGAAACAAAAGCAATTTATTAACAGTGAGTGTGTTTTATCTCAATATAAATAAAAGAATTTCGCAAAAATAACCATATTTATGGAGCTAAATTTCTCGACTATACGAATACTTTTGTGGGTTCAAATAGTAAAATTTTTCATTTTCACTTATTAAGATAATATATTTTAATTATTACATATCTTTTTAGATAAAACATATCTTTTTGAGAAATATACAATCTATTTCATTCTTTGTTAGTAAATTACTAATTAATATTTATAAAAATAAAGTTTTTACCAGTTTTTTCTGTACAAATATTTTTTTGTACAGAATTTTTTCACTATATAAATAATAATTAACAATTTATTAACAAAGAATAAAATTATATATTCTATAGTAAATATATAAAGTATGTACTATAAGATATATAATTTTATTCTTTGTTAATAAATAGCTAATTAATATTTGCTTTCTAAAAATAAGATTTTTTTTAAAAGATCCTTCACAAATACTTTTTACACTCTCACTGTATACATGTAGGAAATATGTACTGTAGAATATGTACATATAATACATGTATATACGTACATGCAAATAAAAATAATATACATATATACTATAGTAAAAAATATATACATAGTACATAATCATATACTGTTCTTGTAACAATCATTTATAGCACTAATATACGAAACTGAACGTCACATTCGCAAGCCGATAAAATACCATCGTTCCTCTAACATGGCAAATTTAACGCTAACAGCATCGTGTGACGTCTCTCGACATTTCTCACGCGGGAAATGTTTTTCCTTCCATTCTCCCTGAACGCGACTCACGGCTTATTTCCAAGTTATACGAAATTTACGAGAGTTCGTTATCGCACCCCTTTCTCACCCCGCGACCATCCCTTTACCTTTCCTACGTCACTCTCCCTGTCACGCCGTATCATGAAGAAGGAAAAAGGAGGGCGGGAAACGATAGAATTCTCTCCCTACTTTAACGAGAACGATATTTTCGTTCGCTCGCGTGCGCACGCACGCGACGGGGAAAAAGGGGTAGTTTTTCACGGTAACAACTGTCTATTAAGGCGTTCTACCGTTGTACAAAGCGATCGTCGTGTAAAACGTCGGTGGCACTACTTTCGTGACCGCGATGACACGCTACGCCGTTTAATCTCGACGGCCGTGCGTGCGTTACCGCGGCCGAGGGTTTTATCGTAATCGTAATTATCATATAAAGCGACGTTGTTGTTCGAGCAAGTACAAATTTCAGACTCTTATCGCGAACGCGAACTTTACCTGTGCATATACGGCCGACAATGAAAGTCTATTAACGGACCCGCACCCGCCGAGACGATAACGCTCTCGTGGTGTGTAAGAAGATGAACACGAATAAACTTGAACGAATTCTTATCGTCGAAAGTCCGCACCCTGTTTTCATCTGCTTTGTAATGAAGCCGTTGCATAATGGCGAACAACTTAATAGCGCTTTGGTGATTTCTTATCGAAACTACGCGAGCAAAATTTAGGATTATATTGTGGAGAATTAAGATTTATTGTAGACGTTTTTTTATATTTAATAAAATTTATTTATAATAATCAAATTTAAAAATTCAGTATTAAAGATTTTTTTTCTTTACTGTTAATATCTAGAATTTTCTTTCTTTTTCACTTTTTCGTCAAAATAAAACATAATTTAGAATGCAATATTTAGAATTATATTATATAGAATACAAAATTTATAATTATTTAAATTGTTTAATTAAATTATTAAATAAAATAAATTATTTAAATTATTAAATAAACAATTAAATTATTTTAATTGTAAATATTCGTTATAAGAATTTTGTTACAATAAAAATAAAGAACGAAAAAAATACGATAATTAACCGCAAAGGAAGAGTGGACTACGCGAAGGATAGGACATCTCACAAGACATTCTCGCGAAATCTCCCGTCATCGAAGCCGCGCTCGCGCCGGCCCTAAGTGGGACACTTGGCGAAGCGCACTTGATAGCAGTTCTGAATAAATAATGTAAACTCGAGTGTCGGCGTTGGAGTATTGCCTCGTACAATAGCACATTCCCTCCAAGCTGCGAGCTGAGATACGACGTTTCATCGATGTCTCGCGATCACCAAATCGCAGTGCGTTTCGCGTCCGGTGAATTTTCTTTGCTTCCTCTTTTTCCCCCCTTATTTTTCTCTCAAAGAAAATTGCATTTTTAATTTACTTTATTCATTCAGTCAGATTTTACGTATGACAGCTTTTGCGATATGGCGCTCGATCGCCCTGCACGTGAAGAGAGCCTTGCGAAGAGATGAGAGGCTCGCTCCGAAGATGTTCGTCACGCCGGAGAATAATCTCTCTGAGTTGGTCCCCGACCGTTGCGAGAACAATCAAACGTACTTGGCGCTCAACAGGTGTCACACACAAGACAATTCGCGCGGTAAGTAACGCGTCGAGGACCTCGGCGGTTCGATGAATCGCGACCCTCGTTTCCGTTCGCGTGTACGGGTAGCGTCGCCTATGCAATCATTGATCATCCGGTCTGGGAGATGATTGCTAGCTGCTGTTCACAGAAGACGCAATTGTTACGCAACTGCGTGACGATTACATTATGTTAATTGCACCTAGGGTTGCCAGGTGGCCGGGATTTCTGGGGAAGTCCCGGAATTTTTTCGGCTAATCCCGTGTTTAGTAATTGAAGTTTTCTGCCCCGTAAGTGGATAATTTTAACGAAATTTCAAGATGCCTCTCATATTTTTAGACCATTTCTTCAATCGCAATCATTGATATTAAAGCAACACTTATATTACTATATAGAGTTGTCCTCATCCTACACTGAATCCCATTTCCTACACTGAAAGAAAAGATTGGCTGCTGCAGCAAATTAGATGGGAAAATATGGCATAACATTTTTAATTGGCTGCTGCAACCAATTAAAAATGCTATGCCATATTCAGCCGATCTTTTCTTTCGGTATAAAATCCATAACTTTTCCCCGATTTCCAGATAAAATTTCGATGATTTGATTTTTCCTGATGTTTTCAATAATATTTTGAAATTTTTTTCTATTTTCACTCTGATTGGGAAACCATCAAATATTTTGTTGAGAGAGCAATTTTAACAATATAAATTACTATATATTAATGTTATTAACTGCTTTAATTTAATTGTTAAGTTGTATAATTCTAATTATTAAGTAGTGTACTAAAACTAGGTGAGGTACGTATATTAAATTTCTTTAAAGCCAAGAATTTTAATTCTCCAAAAAATTTCCCTGATTTTTCCCTGATTTTCATAATCGTTTTCAATTTTTTTGACATTTTCTCGATTTTCTTAATTTCCAATTTTAAGGAGTCATATCGACTTCTATCTATAATTAATTTAAAAATATTTATACCATATTTTTAGATATCATTTTAATTAGTAATTTGTATTTATTACTTTGGCAGACGAGTTAAAACGCTATCATAAAAAAATGATCAGTGTACCATAAATGATGTATGTAGGGCCTCTAACTGATACTAACTGATTTAACTCAAATACTTCAATAAATCCATGTTTCAACCATCGCCTCAGACATATCCCGGAAATGTTGATATTAGATCTAGCAACTCTAAATGCATCGCGTGTTTCTAGATTCTCAAGAACTGATTGTTTGATGGCGTTGCCTTGTTTTTCGAGGGTGGTCGGTTCATCTATCACGCGAGGAGAGAGAACTGGTCTCGATGGGATACTTACACGTGGCGCCGAGCAGCTGCGGCAGATACTTTTTCCAGAAAGTGCACTGCCTCACCCTGGGACCGCTGCCGATCTCCGTGCTGTTGATGTCCAAGGTCAGGTACTCTTTATTGACGGCGGTGTGCGACGGCCAGTATGCCAGGGACAGCTCGCCGCTCTCGTCGATGTTCGGATCTCTGAACGATCATACAAATCAGACATCGTATAAATATATCGTCGTCTCGACGTGGTACCAAAATATCTTCAAGAGAGAGTAACGAGATTTCAAGGTATTTTTAAAGTAATTTATACTGACGATGGCGAATTAATTTAAATCAAACTCCACCCTTTTTTAATTTCTAGTAAAATTTTGCATACGGCAAAAAAAGACCCAGATTGCAAACGAAGGATTAAGTAGATTAAAGGTAAAAACTTCATTATTTTTAAAATTTAAAATTGCAATATTGTCACATTTATATTTATAAATATTTCTGCCTTCAAGCTAGAATAATAATATTTTTTTTTGCGAAAAAATGAAACATAAAAATATTTTTATAGTTGATGAGCATGAATTAATTCGTATTTTTCTGAGTAAAAAATATTTGTTCATATTTCATTTCTGCACCAATAAAAAAGCGAACATCAATATATGTATTTTGTGTCGCGAACACTGGAACATTTTCTATTTTAAAAGTTATAACATAAATATACAACGTGTATTACTTTATATTTAATTATATTTGAAATTGAAATATAATTTTCTGAAATTATTTATGTATATATTATCCCAAATTATATCAAAAAGCTTTTTATGTAATACGTACAATTTTCTCAATTTTTTTTTTAAATTAGAAATAATAGTACAAATAAAAAAAAAAGATTAAATTAATCATGCATCTTACCCCGTTTTTGCGAAGTTCGCCCAGTATCTCATCATTCTTTTCGAGAGCTGTATCTCCTCGTGCGTGTAGCCCTTGGACGGGTCCAGCGGTTCCCCGAAGATGTAGCTTATCTCATCGGCGTGCATGACTCCGGTCCATCGCGGCCATGGATTGTTCCTAGATCTGTGCAAATCGTCTTTTTTTAAAATCCTATATGACTTAGGAAATATAAATGCATCTATTACGTATTAATCGTCTCCTCTCTTTCTTAATATGTCACTCCCTAATTCAAAAGTGATACAGCTTGAAAATTAAGTTTCACAGAAAAGGAGAAAAACTATTTTTCAATTTGATGGAAAATTATTAACTAATCAAGTAATATCTCGGCAATATTGAAATAATAATATAAACTGTAAGGATACTTCAAACAAATTAAAACAAAGGAGAGCTATGAGATTAAATTTTATAAATTCATCACATTTTTATTCAGTAAGTCAATTATTTAATTCTTACAACGTCGAACGCTGTAAGATTTAAATTACTGAGTAAATGTGACTTGTTATAAACTTCTGCGCACTTCTTACCGCGCCTGACTCCTATAACTCTCTCCCCCGCCCCTCCCCCCTTTATTTTAATTAGTTTGTACAAATATTGTACATTTCGAATCCTTAGAGGAGAGCCAGAGAACTTCCTTAACAATATCAAGATTTCAAAAATTGATTTCTTTCTTTACCTATGCTTGTAATAATACATATAGACAGTGTGGCCGGTGTCGGCGTATCGGCCGGCAAATTCGTTGACGTTGCAAGTGAACTGGTAGTCGCCGACGATTTTATCAAGGGCGTCGCGATTCGCGTGCGGATCTTCCGGATGCAGCCAGTCGCTGTACTCGTAGATGATGGCGTGACGGCCAATTTGATTCACGTAGGGATTCAGCTCGGACACGGCGCTGATGAACTGATCGCGCGTCACCTTTACGTCCTCGGCGCCGTCAATGCGAAACAGCTCCGTCAGATAATAGATGATGAAGTAGAAGCCTTCCTCAGTGTTGGAGCCCATGAGGATGTTGGTCTTCTTGAAGGATGTCGTGGCGAGCGAACGTTGGGGCGTCTCGTCGAGGAACGCGCCGTCAATCACCGGCACGAACGGGAACTCGCATATCCCGAGGGTGCCCCACTCGTTCTTCACCAGTTCTTCCGCATCCTTCGTCAACAAGCAGTCGATCGCCTCACGCAGATTGTGGCGATCATGCGGGCAACCGACTGCTTCGGCCAGCCGGATGCCACGCACGATCGATTCGTCGCGCGAGATTATCGCCCATGGCGCGGTCGCTGAGCCCGATTGCATGATGGCTTGATTGAACAAGTGCCTGGAATAGGAATCGCAGGTTCCTTCCTTTAATGAAAGAGACTTTTTATTTCCTCCACCTTCTAATGTACCTACGTACTCTCGAAAACTTTTAGAGTGAACTGTCACTCTAAAGGGTGAAATCTCTTTAAAGATTGAAAATTAAACCACTCTTTTTCAGAATAGGCTCAATTTTTCACTCTTTAGAGTGAGATTCCACTCCAAAGAATTTAGAGAGTAAATATTAAATTGAAATATTGCTGCGTTGATAGAAAAATGAAACAACTTAAAATTAGCAATTTTTCAGTGGAACATTTTTTTTAATTTTTTACAGAACGGGAACTGTTTTAATTAAAATAGTAAATATAACTTTACTTTCCTTTCATACACATATTATAAACTTTAACATTAGGACCGCCGACAATATCTCATTAGAACTGTTGAAGTCTTCTACTAGTTTGATGATTTCCTATATATTTGTTTTTGATTAATAATGATTTATTTTGATTAATAATTTGATTTATTATTTACATTATATTCACTTTTCAATATTCTGTACTGTATATTTAATATAAAAAAGAAGAAATTTTTTACGATTGATGAGCGGAGTCAAAATTCTAGCGTTAAATCATAATGTACTCTTTAAAACTAACAATAAGTTTTCAAAATTCGAACACTACACCGAGAAAATTTTATATTAAATTTTAATACAATTTTAAATTAAAACACTTCCATATAAAAAATGTGTTGACAAATTTATCATTTTCCTATAATATATTAATTGCTTTTTAGTTCGGTTTCTTTTTATTATTTCAAAATTGTTAGTTTTTATTTATGTCATTTCTCTATCGACACAGCGAGAATGACATTAAAACTTGTATTTTTATATGCAGGTGTATCTTAAATAAATATAAATATAAATATTATATACGCAATATTATATATAAATAAATGAATAAAATATATAAGTAAAAAATATTTATTTATATATATTATTTTTTATGTTACATATAACTAATGTATAACATACATATATATATATATATTTTTACTTTATTGTATACATATAATTATATATTTAAATATATTTATCCAAAAGATCTTTTTTTATTCCCCCTTACTGACTTGTCTACTTTTTAACTCCAGAGTAGTAACCTAGTTTTTTTTTTACGTAAACGATCACCTGGGGTATTTTTACACTCCATTTAATATCTATTATTAATAACATATTGTATATTATTGATTGTTTTCTTATTTATTAGCATTTGAGAATATTATAGATACAAATTTAATCACAATTTTTTAAAAGAATGTAAGTGGAAACCAAACAAATATTAAGCGGACTAAGCTTATTATAACAATACCTCTAAAAAAACAAAGATTTTAATTAATAGAATACTATTTTTATTACGCTTATTTTCGATGAAATTGCATATTTAAAGTTTTATGAAAAATAGATATTAAAAAAGAAAACAAGTATGTTAGGTAATGCCCACATAATATTTTACACACACACACAACAATTCATATATTCTATATATGGCTGGGGCATAAAAACACTCCAGGTGACTATTGTCGGATTAAAACTGACCTGGACAGCGGAGACAGAAGGTGGAAGGAGACGGAGACCGCGCCCGCGCTTTCACCGTTGCCGCCGAACGCGGCGATGTTGTCGCGCACCCATTGCAGAGCCATCATCTGATCGAAGAGCCCAGCGTTACCGGGCACGTCGGACGTGCCGAAGTACAGGAAACCGAGACTAGCCACGCGATATTGCATCGACACCACGATTACGTTCTCCTCCGATACCAGGGTCTTGTGGTCATATACGTCGAGGGTGGCTGAGCCGGAATAGAAGCCACCTGAAAAAAGGGTCGCAGAGATCCTTGGGTTTCGCGGCCGCACAGTGGCGCCGGCATGTATACGCAATATTTGTTTTTGCAATTGTCTTCCTTGTGATCTTTTGAACTCAAAATCTTAAGTATCAAAAAGTACGGAATTGTTTTATTGTAATTATCATTATTATTAAATGTGTACAACATACAGAGGAAAGGTCCCTATTATGAGATATCGAATTCATTTTGGGTAAATGAAATCTATGAGCAGAAGTTTAAAAAATAATAGGTCATTTGGAAGGGAATTTAATAAACTTTAAGATAACGTTATATAAAATTTAATTGAAATTCGATTTTTTTTTTAAATTAAAGAAATGTAAAAAGTGAATAAATCGCAAAGTCAAAAAATTGTACTTCTAATATGAGATGCCCCGAGAAATCGATAATAAAACGCAAAGTATATCAACATTGTAATTAAAAAACTTTATTTAATGTTTCTTAAATACAGACAAACAGCTAGGGCGCGCGAAAAATGAATATGCGACACATTGTACCCAGAACTCGTTTTCTAATAGTTGAAATCAAGCGTCGCAGAAATAAGCATTCGACGTTCATTCCGGTTGTCCTTTTTATTATTGTACAATAACATTTATACTTTAGCAAACGATTTTCACTATAATATAGGAGCATGGATTATTTTATATTAGGAATACTCTGGATATCTCATATTACGATTTCTACGCCTTACCGTTTTACGATCATCAAATCTAACTTCTGTAATTAAGCAATTCAACATATCCCGTATTTTTCTATTAGTACGATCTTACTCTATCACTACATGAAGAATTTATTGCAAATTTATTGAATTTATTCTAAATATTTATTTATTAAATAATAAACAATGTTTGAAGGCACGCAAATTCTAAAATCTTTTTTTACAATGACTACAGGCATGATCTAATAATGAATACTAAATAGTTTTCAATCCAAGAGCAAAAATTCATGGTGTAACCAATAGATAGATAGCGTCTATTAATTTAGCAGAAACGCCGCTATCTCATATTAGATGCCTATCTCATAATAAGAGACTTTCCTCTAATTGTTATTTATTATTTTATCAATAATTAGCAATACAATTTTTTTATTTGTATTTATATATTGAATATTTAATTATACAAATGTATGTTAACATACAAATGTATTTATGTATAAAGAATTTCTTTTATTCATATATATTTCATATAATTTTATTTTATTTTTGTGACATGATATGTTAGAGTTTCAAAGAGAGTTCCCGAAACCACCTTGAGTTGAGTTAAGTTTTGTGATATAATAATTCTTATGTAATAATTTCTGAAAGAGAATTAAAGCTGCAACTTTGGGTTGGATTAAGAAAACCTTCAATGAAAAGATAGTACCACTTGGATTTTACTTTTGATAAAATAGCTCTTTTTCAAAGAGCTATTTTTCAAAGTGCCTACTCTTAGCTTTTTAACTTTCTTTTAAAAACGCAAGTTTGTACTGCTTAATTTACAGGAATTCTCTCACGTATTGAGGTATCGGTGTCGACACGTAATTTCACCATTTGATACTCTCTAATAGTGCAATTTATTCGGTGATTTTTTTCTTCTAGTGTGCGTGAGGTCGCGCGTCACAGCTAAAAATATCCCTAATTGAAGAACGTTCGGAAATTAAATTTTATTTTGCTACGTAAGCCGCTGACAGAGGCATCAATCAGGCCGCAACAAGCGTATGGTGACAAGGCAATAAAAGAATCACAGATTTATAACTGGCATAAACGGCAGCATAATGCCCCGCTGACATCATTCAGATCGTGACGGCGGAGTTGAAAAGGATTCGACAAAATGGCTTTCAGGAACGCTTCCGATTTTGCAACTGTTGAAAAAAAACGCGAAGTCGCGTGAGGAATGTAAAGGTCGCAATGCCTTATCAAGATTGTCACAAAACTGGAAATCAGGGAAATCGGGGAATCGTCAAGAAAATTGAAAACGATCAGGAAAATCAGGGGGAAGTCAGGAAATTTTGTAAAATTTTTTTGGAAAATAAAAATTTTTGGTTTTAAAGAAACTTAATATACACATCTCACACCCTATAGTTTTGAGACATTCTATAGATTGGGATCAACTTAACAATTAAATATGCAAGCAACATTAGTAATATTAATTATAATAATTTACAATGCTATGGTAAGTTGATCTCTCAACAAAATATTTAGTGGTTTCCAAATCAGAACAAAAATACAAAAAATTTCAAAATATCATTGAAAGTCAGGGAAAATCATGAAAACTTGTTTGGAAATCAGAAAAAAATCATAGACTTTTGAGATGAGGAATTTGTGACAACGCTGCTCATGTTTTTTTTTTTTAGAAATAAAACGACTCTTCGGGAACTTTTTCAAGTTATTTCCCTCTGCCTACGCGAAAAACGGAGATCTTATCAACAAAATCGCGCTTAGATTGTACGCTCGAGGATGAATAGAGATGATGGATTCTCATCACTGGGAACTCACCACCGAATATCCATACCATGACAGCAGCGTTCCTAGGCCTGGGCCGCGGCACCACCACGTTCACGTACAGGCAGTCCTCGTTCAATGGCGTATTTGGGTTCCACATGGCGGCGCCGGAGAAGTCGCCGAACACCGTGTCCAGGATCTGCACGCAGCTGTTCGGCAGGGTGGTCGCGTTCAGTATGCCTGACCAGCGCTCGACCGGCCGCGGATGGCGAAACCTCAGCGGGCCTGTGAATTGGAAATTCTCCAGTGAAAGAGTTTCTTTCTCGAAATTAACCCTGGAGAATACAGCATTATCATCTACATTGGAAAATAGGTTGATTTAAATGGGATTCTGGTAGATTCAATCAGAAAGGTATAAATCAGATACGTTAGGAATTCATATATACAAATTATATAAAATGTTATATGAAACAATAGTTCAATAAGGTATTGTGTGTATTGTTAAATATTTATATTTAACAATACAATTTGAAATGTATTATTATTTAAATGTAAATGTTTAAATGAAAATTTCCTTATTTTATTTTAATTATTTAAAAACATATCTACTCCCGGGAAAAAAATGTTTTATATGTAATTATAAATAAAACATTTTTTTTTAAATATGTATGATACATCCTTAAATCTATCAATTTACGTTGTCGAGGTAGTCAGAAATTAAAATATGATAATGATTAGAATTCTCTGATCCGTACAATCATAATTTGTCGTGTTTGTACTTCTTGTTGGTATAATAAAAACATTTTTCTCAGTGTAATTCACGAACAAGGCCTCCTTTCTTTAAACTATCATAGATTAATCTCTAAGTTCCAAGCGAATCTGAAAGATATCGTTCTCTTCGAAGATTACGCGGTCGAGGTTGAACGAAACTTTTTTCATCCCATATCTTTCATTCGTTTTATCGCGAAGAATACTCGCTCTCTTGACTACATCCTAAGCCGATCACGATTGCGAGCACAATTCTTGGGCCGAGAGAGCGTTATTTTCCTGCGCTTTTCCCCGCTTCATTTGCGAGACCATAGACTAATATGATAGATTACGTATTCAAATGTGACAGCTGGAGACAACACATGAAGGACAGAAATATGCGTGATCTGTCCGTCATACATTGCACAATTGAACGAGAAAAGTGTCTGATCAACTATTATCCTCCCTCACTAATCCCAGATAACACAAAATATTCTATGAGTATTCTAATAAAACACAAATGTTCTTAATGTTGAAATATTTATATTGAATGTTCTATGAAATACGTAGAATATTCTATTAAAAAATTCATATTCACATAATATAAAAACATTCACAGAATGTTCCTCATTATATATTCGTAGAGTTAATGAACTGGACATGAGCAGTGTGCTAGCCTTATCTTGCGGACAAGATCAACCCAAACGTATATAAAAATACTCAAAGAAACTAAAAATCAAAATCATGTTAATTTAACTTAATTTACAAGGTACTGATTACAAGTAACGTTACATTAACCGATTATTATCTGAATTTATATATTTTTTAATCATTTTTTAATCATTTAGTCAATATGACATTATTCTGACTGTCTCGTTCTTCTCTCTATTCTATAAAATGTTATATAAAATATTCTATAAATATACATAGAACGTTTATAATTGTGCCATTCAAATGTACTATGGACGTATTAATATTTAAGTGTTTTTGGTACATTTATAGAATATATAGGAATTTTCTTAATAAATATAGGATTCATAGAACATTTGTGTGCTATTTGGGAACATTCCAAAATAGCACACAAACATTCTATGACGTCAAATAACGTCTTAATAATATCTTAGTATGTCTTTAACGTCAACAAGACGTCACCTTGCTATTTGGATTGTCCTCGCGTCTCCATTAAAATCTCGAATATATATAAATTTGTGCGCGGGACTCACCGACGGGTTTTTGGGCGTAGGGTATGCCGAACCAGGCGTCGGGGCCATGCCTTTCCTGGTGCGCACCACCAGCGGATCGTCGGAGTGGCCGACGAGGGCGGCCGGTCGTGGGAGCTCCTCGCTCGACCTGGAACTCCTGGTGTCCTCGTGCGACGCCTCCTGCGCGGCGTGCAGCTCGTGCTCGTGATGCCTGCTCCGGTGGGACGGCGAGCCGAGGCAAGGATCCGGCTGCAGGACGAGGAGCAGGAACAGGCTTAGTACCAGCAGGGCCTCCAGTCTGCCGGTTCGCCAGGAACTTGAGTTTCTCGACATCGTGCCTGCTCGGCTGCAAAAAGGAATAAAAATCGCGCGCATTTCGCCCATCATTTATCGTGCACGTGGAGAGGGAGAATTGTATCTACAAATATCTTACACTCTTAATTTCTTGCAGTCAAATCTCACTCCAAGAAAGTGAAAATACAATCGTCTTTTAGTTCTTGAAAAAGAATGACAATTTTCACTCTTTTTAGAGTGAATTTTCAAAGGAGTGAAATCTTACTTTTTTTTTAGTGACATTTTACTCCATTTGAAGTGAATTTTTACTTCAAAGAAAATTCACTTTAAGAGAAGGGAAAATTGTCATTCTTTTTCAAGAAGTAAAATATTCTCACTTTTTTTTCAAAAGTGGGAATGTTGCATTTTCACTCTCTTGGAGTGAGATTTCACTGCAAGAAATTTAGAGTGTATGAAATTATAATAACAATCAATAAAAATTACATTAAATTAAATTAAAATTAAATATCTATGTGTGTTCGTAGTATATGTCTCCTTCTCTCTGTCAATGTGTTTCCTTCGCGAAACTATTATAATTATTTTTCGTTTAGAACAAATTAAATGTAATTTTAGACCGTCTATAATTTGCGCCGGAATTTAAAATAGAATTCTATTTTTAATTTTATATGCCATACAAATGATAAACATTTGAACAGAATCAGAGAATCTTCACATAAATAAAATGTGCTTTAAAATGTACACATGTATATCAAAATGCATGGTATATAAAATTATAAATAGAATTCTATCTTGAAATCTCACGTGAATTATAGATCGCCTAAAATGGACTTTGTGTATGTGTATACAGCGTGAATGGAAAATGAACAAATTATATGGTATAAAATGTTTAAAAAGCGGTTATTCGAGAGAGCCGAGCCACGTGTAGCCTTCAATTATTCTTGTCTGTATACCTCGAGGCACAGTGTCGAAAATGTTGCGACAGAAAATTGGAAAGGGTTAATCCTCACCGGAAACTTGTTCTTTATCTGGCAGATGATAAATTCGGTTTCTAAGCGCCGGGACGTTTCGCTACTCGCGCCATAACCATCGTATAATTTATACAGCATTCGTAAAATGATGCTGGACGGGATGCGTTTGCGAATAACAAATGGCTGTTTCGGGTACGCTATTGGTAAATACATTAGCATAAAGTACACAGGTGATACGTCGCTCGTGAGAATAAATCTGGAACAGCTGCATTTCGCGAAAGCTGCATTCGCTGCGGTAGAAAAGACTAGAGATCCTCGAGTAAGAAATGGCACCGTTTAAACGACTTCTGATTGGTCAGCCATATGTTTCAGGACCTATTCAGGATAGAATAGATATTCAAGATAGAATAGATATTTCATTCTGTTTTATGAATGATCTATCTCATTTTTTCTTAAGTAGATCCTGAAAAGTATAACGAATTAAACGTATGGTGTCCATCTTACTTGAGAATTTCTACCCAGGAAAAAGACTATTCTTAAATCAATCATAATATGCTCACATATAAGCAAAAATATTACAATCTTGCTTTGTATTGTATTACTTTGCACTTAAGACGTGCTCGATCAAAAATCTTATATAAATACAAATTTAATCAAATCAAGATTAAAATCAATAAAACATCTTTAAAACAAGATCACAATATTTTTGCTTATATATAATCATATTATAATTGAATTCCATATAGAATTCCATACAACATAGAATTTGCAGTAATATCAAAATCTCTGCACTATTGCAGCAACATGCAGTGTTACTGCAACTTTTGTACAATTTTGTGCTGCAGAGGAATAGTCTTTTTTTCTGTGTAGGAAAAGCTTCATACATCGCGGCCGTTGCGAGCATCAAAAACATGGACGCGTTTTATAAAAACAATTGGATAAGACTTATTTTCAACTTTGCTTACTTTGTGCCCTGCACACGTAAGCATGCCTGAAATGAAATATCCACGCATCTTATTCTATCTTGAACAGGTGCCTGAAAAATGCAAGAGCGAGAAAAATGCTCCAGCGGTGGTGCATAACGTATGTCGCGAATTTATTAATTTCGAAGGGGATCCACCGCGGAGGAAAAATCAACTCCACCGAGACTCGCCGCGTGTGATTTAAAAGCAAGCAGAGATGTGATTTCCGAAAGATTTCCCGTCGAGCATCCTTCTTTTCTGAATAAAAAAAATTCCCGCTCGTCCTAGAAAATTGTCCTCTACCGTGGCGCAAAATTACCCCCCCAGGGACAAAGTAACCCTATCTGACCGTAATTCAAGCCGCGGTTTCCAGCGCATCCGAGAGAGAAACCGCGTTGGTAATTGAGATTATTTGAGTTAACTAAGCTAATTTATTTAATAGCACGTTATTTACGTCGAATTATTAGCCACGAGTTAGAGCAGCGTTTAATTATTTAAATTGAACGATTTTGAATTAATTTCACTGAAAGGAAGGGAATGAAAATGTGATTTTTAGAATTCAGAAAAAAATATTGAAATAGCATCTCCAAAGAGAGTTTCATATATAATAATATTTCAATAATAATATATTGAGTAGACGCGTTAATCTTACCGCTTTTCTCGTGAATAAAAATGCACCGATAATTTTGTTCCTCGAAGAAATGCAGATAGAAATGTTGGGATGATTATTAGACGAGTGGATGAAATTTTGGCGTCATTAGGTAGGAACGGCTGTTGCAAATGATTTATCTCGTTTAAGGTTTAAATGACATTTTCGTTCTGTACATGCTCGTCTTTCTCTTTCTCTCCATTCCCGCGCTTCTTCCGCCAAGCATTCATGATACATCATAATAAGGTCGTTATATAACTGACAGACAGACGACAAGTGTCCTCGCTTGTCGTTTAAATCTTTTGCAAATTGGAAGAACATTGAATTTCTACAGCCACCTCTTTGTCCGCAGTTACACATCACAAATTTCTCTTAAATGCTATTCACAATCGTCGGATTCATTACTCAGAGAATTCACGCGATGATAGAAATATTCTCCCACGACTGATAATTTTGCACGCCCATCCTCAGGAACTGAATATTATAACCCCATACGTGTTTCACACGCGTGCGAATACAGGTTTAAAAACTTTGTGCGCGACACGTTGATATTCTCGATAATAGAGAGTCCCGGGAATATATAGGGCGTCTCGAGATTACAGATTAAAGGATTTTGTTTTTAACGTAGGGTCTATAATGTCATCGAACGCGTGACTTCGATAACGGTGGATGGTTCAAAGTTATCCCATGCACAGCGCGAAGCTTTTTTTTTTTTTTTAGCTCACGTTTTACACCGCAGCAACGTCGCAATCCTGCAAATTGCAGGGGCATTACAGAACCATGCAAATGAAAAATTCTGACAAGGTTACAGCAATATTGGAAGTTTGCAGGATATTAAAAATAGAATGAGGTTCCATAATGCCTTTTCCCCTACACATTGAATCTGACACCCCTCCCGGATTTCAGGCTGCGACAAAGAAGATGGCGGAGAATGTATAAAAATTACGCGATTAATCGATTTCGATTTCGAAGAGATCGAATGATGTATTTAGAGAATGATGAAGAAAAATGTAATTGTGTTTGCAGCAACGTTACGTCAATACATGATACATCACATCGTCACGTCGCTGAGACGTCACATTGCAAGCTTACAGTAACGTTGCAGCATTATTTGCAATTTAAATGACTGCATCCAGTAGAAAAAGTAACTTTGTAAGATTCTTTAATGTGATTGGCTTATACAATTAGATTCAGAATGGAAAAGGAACTAAGAGCAAGAATATTAGAGAATCTTACAATCATATTACAGGGTTGTCAAATTTCTTAACTAAAATTTCATAACTTTTTCCTGATTTCCAGACAAAATTTCATTATTTTCCCTAATACTTTCAATAATATTGAAATTTTTTGTATTTTGTCTTGATTTAGAAACTTTCAAATATTTTGTTGAAAGAGCAATTTACATAGAATGTTAATTACTATTAACGTTGCTGCTTGCATTTAATTGTTAAGTTGGTATCCCAAAACTATGTAGATGTGATGTATAAATTTCTTTAATATACATTAAACTTATTTAAAATCAAGAATTTTAATTTTCCAGAAAATTTTACAAAATTCTCTTATTTGTAATTTCCGTTTTCAATTTCCCTTATATTTCTCTGATTTCCCTAGTTTCCAATTTTGTGGAAACACAAATCTGCATTAAAAAGTCTTACAACAGTTGCTAAATTGTTTTTTCTGCTGAACGCAGATCGCTGCCAACGATCGCATTTACGATCTCGCAATGAAACATTTCTTTCTGCAGATCCGCGCTGCGTTTGCGATTAAAACATCATGCATTATATTTAAACGGCAGGTGTACTTTGACAAATTTCAAGTGGGATATTCTGCTTCTCGTTAATGTTTAACGGCAGACTCTTTGACTGATGTAATGTAGAGTACAAGATATCCTGCTTCACGCGCATTATTTCTTAATATCGAGTCGATTTCTCCTCGGCGAACCTGTCGTGGGTGCTCATCATTTTATCACGACTCTTCAAATTTTTAACATAATGTTACTAATGTAACTCTATGTAACTCCATGTAAGCCTTGAATTAAAATTCCATCAAAGCAAACTCCATCTGAGATGTAGTATTCTTTCTTTTACCTCCATTTAAACAGGGACTTGAATTCGTAAAGACTTTCATTTTGCGATAACTCGAGAATTGTCGACGCCTCCATATTTTCGTCTTCGAGGAAAGATCGACTTCAAATCGGCCAAGAAATCTGTTGTTAAAGAATAATGTGGGAGAAGCGGAGTATCCATTATATCTTGTATACAGTTATCGATGGGAAATACGATATCGTAGCTCCGCATAACAAATTTCTGCGTATTATCACACGTTGAAAAGGTGTACCTATATATATATATATGATATAAGTGCGATAGTATATTCAGAAATTTATACATGATTCAGAAATTTATATATAATTAAATTCACAACAACGTGGCATAAATTATAAACAATAAATAAAGGAGTAGTTAGCTTATGTTTTAAATATATGACTTTCGCTACTGACATCCTGTCATGTGGCTATCTGCTCCTTTTTATTTATTGTTGTAATTATATAATATTTTCACTGGAACGCTTAAATATTATATATGCTTGTAGCTTTTCTTCAGCACATACATTGAATAGAATCTATGAATACTCCAGTGAAATATTAAAATTCCGATTTTGCCTTTCTCAATCCCTTATATTTCTTCTTAATTTAAAAGTAAACCCTATTATATTTACACAGTTATGATTAACGTAAGCTTATTAACTTTAACGTTTACAGAACAGGAGAGCCAATAGTGGTGTTGAAACAATTATATTTTGAGGCAAGGAATGCAATGAATAATGAATTACAAGAAATTTTTAAGGAAAAACTGTAAGATTTAAAAAAAAAGTTCCTCTTTGAACGTTAATTTCAAAAAAAACTTTTTTGTTAATCTAAATAATAAGAGTAGCTACTTTAACAAAAAAAAGTCTAATACTTCACAGTGTCTTCCTTGTAAAATAATTTTGTAAAAAGTATTTTTGTAGAACTTTCGAATACTACATTATTTTTCATCTCATTACAAAGGAATGAACAAAATAATTATTTTATATACGCTTTCAATTAATCTCAAACTTTCGACTGTAGTATGCATAAACTAAATGTGCTCTCTAAAATTTCTCAGAACGAAATCTCACTCTCTGGAAGATCGAAAACTCAGCCATTCAGTTTCCAAACTGATTAAATTTTCGCTTTTTAGGGTGAGATTTCGTTCGGTAGGATTAAAGAATGTAAATAATTATACAAATAATTACGCAAATATACATGTATACGCACGTCGTGTTCAATACACGATTCAGCGTCCCTCTCCCTTTCTGCACCTCTTTCCCCGTCTCACGTACGCACGTTAGGGCAGGGGCAGGGGGAGGTATTAGTAGGATGATAGTATTCTCTAGTTACCACACGAAGGTCCACGTTGATTAGCAACTTCCTTCTACGTGTTCCGTGCGTGGTCGTACGTACGCTCGGTCACACGGGAGCGGCGCGCGTCCACGGGAACGTCGTCGCACGCGGAAGTTTACGCACGAGGACGAGATTAAACGTCGTCGTGAAATTAGGATTTATTGGTCGCACGGTGGCGAGGCACACACTATGCGAGACGAACGCCGATAGAAGTCGGAATAGAGATTCCGCCCAGGCAAATCAGCGGCGGAAACAAGGCCGCCAAGGTTCTCAGCGAATCCCAAGCGGCACCGGTAATCGGCTTCAATTTAAACATCAAGTTCGAATAATCGAATGACATTAATTGCGTCCGATTTAACGTTTAACTCAAATCATACGATTCGTGCGCGTACGACGTTTCAGTTTCGACGATTTAGATGAAAAAAATCGGTAATCTCTAGAGATGCTCTGACTTTCTTAGAAAAAAAAATCAATAAAAAATTATGAAATATTAAATGAAAGGAAAATAAGTCAGAACAAATTAACAAATCACGAATTAGAATCTCTCTCTCTCTCTCTCTCTCTCTCTCTTTCTCTGTTTTCAGACTCACCGAGATTTTTCAACAATATTCGCCGCGCGACACTCTCTCCCTCTCTCTCTCTCTCTCTCTCTCTCTCTCTCTCTCTCTCTTTGTCGGCGTTCTCCCGTCCCGTTTATCGATACTTATAAATTATGATACTTATTCAATTAGAATCGCGGCCGCCCGCGAAAGATCCGCGAAGGGATCGATTATTATCGATATCGCGTCGCAATAATGAGGACCGTCTCGACGACGCGGGAAACGGGACGCGCCCCGTCGACGAAAAGCACTGACGACGACGACGGGCTGGCGAGCGTTTACGGGAGTGACAGCGCGAGGCCCGACGCCGCATTAGAGTCCACGAAGCGACTAGTTACTTCCCTTGGCACTGCGGCAGCATTATACGTTATCGCGTGTACGATATAGGTAGGGTACGTGATCCACGGCCAGCCGCCGCGGCTGGAAGCGCGTAGATCGATCGGGCGGGGATCGGACACGTCGAGCCCGAATGTCGTTCGCCATGCAGAGAGACCAGATTCTGCATGGCCAACCCTCGACTCGATATGCAAAATTTTCTCCTCGTACGAGACGAACGGACAAATTTAATAACACCTCTCCGCCGAAGACACAGTTTTTCTTTTAATCCTCCGGAATGAACGGTGGGTTTATTGGAGACTCGCTTAATTGTATATAAAATCTCTGTCTCTCTCTCTCTCTCTCTCTCTTCCAAAGTGTCAAACAATTCAATTTTCTTTACGTTACGTCGGCAGATTTGGATTCTTCTTGTTAATTTATATGTATACGGAAAGAACGGTTTTGTTGAAGTATCTAAATTTAACTTTAAATGCAGATAACTTGCAAATAATTTCATTGGATTATTAAAATTGTATAGGACACTCCCGAGACGGCACACAATATTTATAAAATATTTACAAAATATTTATAAATATTCATAAGATTTATTTTAAATATTTTGCAAATATTTTTATAGGCAAATATTTTAAATTGCACAGATCATAAACATTTATTATAAATATTATGAAATATTTATTGTAAATCTTGTAGTAAATGCTATGGAAATATTTGATAAGGCATAATTTAAATAAAAAGTACTTATTAAATTTATTTATATTTATCATAAATATTTGTTTCATCTATATTTTAATAATATTTAAAATACAGCTTTATATAAAATATGTAAAATTCTATAATATATATAACATTTCAAAAAATGAATATTAATAAACATTTGTCATAAATATTCTGTGCTGTCTGGGTCAAATGCTGAGTCTGATTAAAATATCGAAATTTTTGACAACATTGCTTATCATGCTTGAGTTTCTGTATAATTTCATGGTCCATTATTATATTCGTATCTAAAGTTTTTCTTTTAATTTTCTGGAACGGATGATGGAGACTTATTTAATTCTAAAGTCTCTTTGTCTTAAAAATGTTAAACAATTCAACTTTCAAAAATTCAGGATTTGTACCAATTAGTTAAGAACTAAAGATAAAAATATATTATAACATTAAACACTGAAATATATTTCTCCTGCTTGAAAGGCTATAAGTAGATGCGAATATCGAAAATCCTTACAAGTTATTTTTTAACCAAAGCAGTAAGAAACTGTTTTTTTTTTAACAATGACGATGTCATCTCTAAAAAATTAACTATAAATATTTTTCCATCAACTTAAATATCGACTTTCCTCCGGCAAAAATGAGAGATCAATGATTATCGTTTATCAATTGAATTTTTAGTGATGTATATCTTAATATAAATATCTAAATATAAATTTCATCAAACTTTATTTGGAATCTATGAAGAGAAGTAGTTTTGTAACTTTATTTATTTCCCCAAAAGTTGAGTTTGCGAAAGAACTTTTATCAATCGTTTTTACTTTGGTCTCTCAATGTTTAAAAAAAAAGTTGATTTCGAGTCTGTCGTTAAAAAGTAAATATTAAAAAGTGGACTAAAAGTAGAGCATGCAGATATGTGTTTCATAAATAATATTAAAGAATATTTACGAGAAAGTTTGGAGAATTTATTTTTTTAGTAGAAATATTATAAATACAAATATAAAGATAAGCAACGCAGAAAGTATTATATTCTCGAAATCACTTCGTTTCTTCGATAAAAAGTACGACAAATAAAGTTACGTTCGCGTATCCGTCTGAAAATCGGATTCGTTAGCTTCCAAGTTGGCTTCCACCCTCTACCCTCTTCGCCGCGGGGATCGCTTCCCTGTTCGTCGCACTTGTCTTTTACTTTTTTTCTTTTCCGATACTTACAGCGAGGAAGACGCGAGGAAGGTGCTCGACGCGGCTCGAGGTGATTAGACTTCAGACGGCGGCGATGTCCTCCTCCGAATCCGCGACAGGCAGATCCGCTTGCCCTCCCCCTGTCTCGTCTACATTCTTCATTCGTGAAGCATCGTTCGTCTCTGTAACACAGCACACAACGCGATTGATTGAACGAGGGTGTGTCGGAAATGAAGGGCGAAATGCTGACGAATGCGCGGGGACCACGAGCTCGTTATTTACGGATTATTACTGAAAGGGAGATGAGGGAGAAAGAGAAATGGATGGAGAGAGAGAGAGAGAGAGAGAGAAACAGTGAGGAAAACACATATTGCAATTCTACAAGTAACGACAAATTAATGCAGTAATAAAAGCAGCGACAAAAAATAAACACAGCGTTGGCAATAAATATAAATATAACGACCCTCGATTTATTGCATTTCTTAGAAAATCGGTAATAAAATCTAAAGGAAAAGTAAGCATATAAAATTATGATAAATTATAAAATTGTGATAAAAATCATCGATATTATTTTTTGATAAAACTTCTCTAATAAATATTATATATTTTTCATTGAAACTTTTTAAAATTTATTCACATCAAATATACACACGCAGAAAATTTACGTCGAGTGGTGAGGGATGTTTTGTACTTTGGGTTGTAAAATAAATAATAAGGAATAAAGTTCTGTTTGACCAGTAAGATCGTGGTGCCGCAATGTTGAATAACTGTTGGTTACACTGGCGAAGTTCGGTAGCGCTCTGGTGTCGCTTCTGTGAAAACACGCAGTTTCACGACAGTTTCGCTGCGGCAGCGAAAACTTCGTCACCGCGTATCCCTTTTCTCCATCACATATTAGATTCGATCCCTTTCCACCCCGCCCTGTCGCCGTAACGACACTCCCTCACATCCGAGAGAGAGCATCCCTTCATTTCGGCCCGCGGGCGATCTACGAGTTTCGTTATCCGCGAAATTCCGCGTACGTCGCTCCAGGATGAAAGCGAATGCCAAAAGCAGGAGGTACATATATGCCCTTATTAGAAATTCCAGTCGTCCGTGTATTCGCCTTCTCCCCCGACAGCGACGTGGAATTCGCATATAAACGGCTAAAAGGCACCGAGGAACATCGGGGGTTCCCCGAAAGCGGGGAAGTTCCTTTCCTTACACCCTCAGGATGAGGACAATTCGCGATACGTAGAATAATTCTCCGTGGTCCAACGTCTTTTTTTTTACACTACTTTTCTACTCTAAAAAATATAGATGTAGATTTAACATCATGTAATGTATAATTCTGTATAATTCTTGTTAATATTAACACCAATATGGCGTTTATAATCCCTGGTGTTTATATCAGCATCATTATGATGTCGATTTAAAACCCTCCATGATATTAAATTTATATCATGCTAGTGTTAACATTAACACACTAAAAGAAACGTATATCGTATTTGTAACTATAATTGCATAGTAAAATAATTATGGTTAAAAGTATCATTTTTTTATACATAATTATTATTGCTATGTTAGTAGTAATAATCTTATATGTATAGTTACCACATTTTATAGTATAATTTACTATATGATTTATGTGTAAAATAATCATACAGTTAGTCGAATAAATACATGGTCGTTATGATCATAATTTAGTGTTCAGGTTACTATAATTCATATAGTAAAAGCAATTATAAATTTATGATTGTCTCCAGAAAATAACTATAAATTATAGTTAAATTATAGTTATTGCAACCATTTTTTTGTCTCTGTGCACCAACATGATGTGGATTTATAACCCCTAGTGTTTATATCAGCATCATCGTGGTATTTAAAACTAATGCTGTTAAATCCATATCATGTTGCTGTTAATATTAACAGTATAGTGAGAATTATATGAATATCGCGTGATGTTAAATCCATACCGATTTTTAAAGCGTAATTCAACCGGATGACTAATTGTGTTACTTAAAGGATTTTTTCTAAAAAGTCTAAAAAAATTTTGGTACAATTCGTTCAACATTCAAGAAACTATATAGACATGTTAAAATCACTGATATTGTATGGAGTCCAATCAGGTTATTGGTACCTAATTATATTTTTTAAAGGGTTTTTGAGCCCTGAAAAATCTGAAAAACTTTGATACACTCTTTTAATATTTAAGAATACGATTTTACAAAGCATACGATTTTACGCAGCCATTATCCGGAATATTTTTCACTTTTTTGTACGTGTCCGAATTTGAGAATAATTCAAAACAAAAAATTCGCCTAGATCTTCAAAGTCCTAATTAAACCACTAAAGTAAAAAATTGCAGTACGAGTTTACGGAGAGCACAGATTCAACCGCGCAGTGGTTCGATTAATTAACGCTTGGCAATTAAAGAATTCGAGTACTCTTGTGGACTGTTCTTATCGTTTTCGCTTCGAAATAGCGAACCTCGTTCTATTCTCGTACAAATTACTTTCGTTGAAGTGGCTCCCTTAAATTGGACGTCTCTTTAAGGATTCCGAGAGCGACGGCTGGTGGTTCGACGATATCGGACGGAACGTCTGCGAATTTTCGTTATTACAGACACACACACACACACGCATACACACATACACACACACACACAAATGTCTATGTACACACGTGTGCATGTGCGCAAGCACAAACACACGGACGATCGTTGACCGAGAAACGAAAGGTCAGGGCGTCACTGGCTCGGCTTGGCTGGCTGCACTGCGGCCCGCTGAGTTTCGCGGCGCGGACATTTAGGAAATTACCGTGAGGGCGAGGGGTGAGAAACGAAACCGGCCGGCTGCTCGACGAAATATGCATCGGCGCAGCCCGGCACCGGGCGTGCCGAAAAAAAAAAAAAAGAAAAAAAAAATCACCGGATGTCCTACTCGGCGAAAAGAGATTCTGTCGGCCGACACGCGGGATCGATTTTTCCGTCCCGACGGAAATGTCGGGACACTCGCGATTTTCGAGTGAGGGGGTAGTTCTGAGAAAAATGATCTCCCTTTACATTTATCAAATGTATTCGATATTGTACTCTTATTTAATTAGTACTTTACGCATAGGAAAGTGTCACTTTTTTTTAGATCGAAGCTGCATTATCAGGAAAATTTTTGAGCAAACCAAGTTCAAAGGAAAAAATAAATGACAGGATAGTATCTGGGAAATTTCAATTTTAAAATGTATCCATAAGAGCTTCATATTGAAGTCCCTTTAATAGAATTTTAATATAAAAATTGTCAATGCAAGCGACGTTAAAAATTGCAACGTTAAAAATTGTGGAGATAATTTCTCTTGACATTTTCTCCAAGGAGGAATCGTCTCTAATTTGACGGTTGGGACGGCGTCCAGTAGTTTCTGGCACACCGTACATTTTTGAAAGAACTTTCGCGAAAATAGCGAATAAGCGTTTTTTTTCTCACTTCGCTGGATTTTCGATCTATTGCCCACGCTCGAGAACGAATTGAAACCGCGGCATTGTTTGCGTCTTCGTTCAGCCGCGGGTGAACGATTTGCACTTGAAATACTCGTCCGTTTAATCCGAGGTTCGCGATGTCGGCTGAAAGACGCGTCACTTCCTCATTGAGATGGGATTTTGAAAATAATTCACCGACGCGTCACGCCGGCGTTCCATTCAGAAAAATAATTGCCGAGGAGCTTCTCTCTCTTGCCGGAAAAAGGATTCTCCTGACTCGGATATTGAATACGATTTGGAAAATCACGGCGAAGAAAAAGGGGAAAATACGGTGTCACTTCGACGTTCTTCCTCCAATCCCTCAAGAGCTGTCGAGTTGGGTGTTTCGCGCCGCTGCGGATCAGAAACGTGCAGCACGAACCATGGGAGAGGGTCAGTCGGACCCGACGCCGCAGTCCCGTCCCTATGACAGGGTAAAAGCGAGCGTGTATCGCCAGGTATCATCGGGGGATTATGGATGGCCCATGGACACGCTAACCCAGTGACATCTCTAGGTCAACTCGACCGCTCGTCGCTCGATCCGCCACCGATTCGCCACCGCATCGTATTTTCAGACCGGCTCCGATTAAGGCCGAGGAAATACCGCAATTCATTAAGTCCCAGAGCGACCCCCTTTTAAGTCCCGACGATGCTTTCAAATGAGAACACTTAGATTCGAAACGAGGAGGTCACATGGCATTGTCGCCAAATATTCGCGAAGTTGAAGAATTCTGCATTAACAAAAAAGAATATGTAATGATGCAAGTATTAAGCTGACAACTACATAAGTTTAATACGTAGAATTAATGTACATAATGAAGAAATTAGTGTACGTAATTGAATAAACTTTTTACAGCTGCAATAACTATGAAATAGTTTACTCAATTATGTTATACATTAGTTCTACATGTTAAACTCGTATTTGTCTTTTATACAAATTTAAAGTTGTCATTATACACGTGACCTCCTTCCTATGTACATAGTTAAATAAATACACACACACACACACACACACACATACACACACACACACACACACACACACATACCATTGAATAAACTATTTTATAGTTGCATAACTATAAAATAGTTTATTCAATTGTATACAATAATTCTAGAAATAAAACTTGTATAATTGTCACTTTTATAGTTTTTCACTGTTATGTCTTTTTCTCTGAGATAATCTTTTTTAGTTGCAATAACTATAAAATAATTTATTCAACTATGTATATTAATTCTATATATAAAACTTGTATAGTTGTCATTTCTTATTACTACTATATCATTTCTTCTAAAATAGTCTGTTATAGTTGTAACAACTATAAAATAATTTGTTTAACTGTGTACATTAATTCTATTAGGTGTTGGAATTAATTCGTAGCGTTTTTTAATGAAAGAATGTTATTTATTTCACATGAGCATTAAAAAATACATTAATGAAAGTACTTCCCATCACTTCCCATCTCTTGTAAAACGCTACGAATTAATTCCAACACCTAATATATTAAATTTTTAATTGTTACTATTTTGTCTATTTCTCTGAGACAGCTTTTTAGATAATTAATTGTGTATATAAAACTTGTATAGTCACTTGTATAGTCGGTCACTTTTTTAATTATTATTACTATATCTTTTTCTCTGAAATGATCTATTATAGTTGCAACAACTATGAAATGGTTTATTCAACTGTGTACA